ACGAGGAGGAGAGAGAGAGAGAGAGATAGAGAGAGAGAGAGAGAGAGAGAGAGAGAGAGGCACACAATCTCTCGAGTGATCTGAAGGTTGGTATTGTTCACACACTATTCTCACTTTAAGACACACACACACAAACAAAAGCCATTCTTCTTCCCTGAGCAATTAGCATGCTAACTCTGACCACAACAACAAAGGAACACACAGCGGTTTTGAGCAGACTACATTCATACATTTTTCTCTCACATTCACACACTATCACCGATTAAAAACTATTTTTGCAACCACAAAAACACAAACTTAATGGTTTTCTACTGTGGCTGTAGCTGATGACCTCAAATTATCCTCCTCCAAAAAAAAAAAAAAAGCACAAGTTTGGATGTTAAAACAATCCTCAAGAAACAAAATTACGTTTATTGTTGGAAAATTAGGCACATTTTGAATTAGCCCAAAAAGTAATATATTAATAACATAAAAACTCTTTTGAATTTAAGCAGTATGTAGCACAGTAAAAATTATTTCTGTCCCGGCATGATTTTCATAGATTAAATACAGTACAACAGATAATGTCATATATAGACGACTTCTAATTCTACTTTGCAAATATACTTTGCAATTTAAATAATGCATTTATTCCTGCATTATAGTAATACGAATGAAGATTTTACATTACAGTACACTAAAGTTAATTGGGGAAGATGATTATTTGTAATTTAATTGTAATTTCTAAAACTTATATATAGATTTTGATATAGATATAGATTTTGCAGTTAAATTTGACTTAGGTTCGCCCCATTAAAACACTGTCATATTGCAAGTTAATCACACACACTCAACAAATTACTGTAGTTTTAAACAGTCAACACACTATATTTATAATATTGCATAATTTATTTTAGTGAAAGCTGTGTCAGAGGTTGATCATTGAGACCACCAACAAACACAACAGGAAACAATAGCCACACACACACATTTTTTGTTCTGTTTTTTCAGTACAAAGCCTGATTATTTCAGCTGGTGTGGTGTGAGACTGTGAGGTGTGTGTTCTGCGTCTCTAACTGCACACACATTCACGTCAATCAAACCCCTCTAATAACTATGTATAAATTCATATAAAGATCTAACAGCCCTCAGTGACCTCTCACAGAAGAACAGAGACTGTTCATCCTCACTGGAGTTGAAGATAAACGTGTCTCACTCCACTCAGCTGGATCCAAACTCAATCACAGCTCCATTACACACACTCTCCTGCAGATACTGTGTGTGTTTCTCTCCGGCAGATGCTGCAGAGACTCTGAAAGCACAGAGGGAATTAGACCAAAATCAATATCATTCGGTTCTCATCAGAAACCCTCAGCTCCCTTCACTCCTGACTCAGGTTACACGAACATCTACTGTAACTGTAAGTCTGAAAGGGCAGTGCTAAGGGGTGAAACTGTGCTCAGGTTACGGGCCAAGACAGAACACCGGGATTAGCTGATGCATTAGTACACATAAGAGCTGACACCAACATTTCACAACACTTACACAGACACTGTGGGTAGATTTACACCCTTAAACCTGAAGCATGCAACTCTGACAACATTTACAGAAGAAAATGTCCATTACATACACAGAAATGCCTTATAGTTTATGCCATGACCACAATTTAAAGGAGAAACGTATGATTTTTGCTCCACTAGTGGCAGCAAACTGAACTGCAATCTGTTTTTTTGAGTGCATGACTTTGACGCCATAACCACATTGCCTTTACCAATAGCATGAGCTTAAAGCAGGACTATGACAGTGTTGTCACTGTTAACAAGGGATGTTTTATGGGCTTAAAAATGTATCACGATAATTTCTGATATTTATTGCGATAACAATATCAATGACGATAATTTAGGGAATCCTGTTTTTTTAGAGAAAAGTATTATCTTTCCTATTTTTACCCAAAACAGGGTGTTGTGAGCAGTACACACGTAATGTAATGACCGTTTAATTAATACTGGAAGCCGGAGGGCGCCCTTGCGCAGAAACTCCACATATGCATAGCAGAAGTAATGCTCCAGGAAATCCCTAATATGGACAGAGGTATCCCGTGATTGCTGTAGCTGAATAAAACGCTGATAAGAGAAATTTTAACTGAGGAAACCTGAAGACAATAAACATGCGATTGCACAAAATATATGGTATCTGTGTTCTTCAAGCAATCTTGGGTATTTTTATAAAGATAAAGTATATTTATAATGCAATGCTAATCGACATAGCCTTTATCACTGTATATAATGCTATAGAATAGTATGATGTCTGCCTTATTTTGTGATACGAAACCATGTCTGATCACAAAAAGAAGTTATTCAAACACTCGACTATGTTATGAAGTTAATATGGAGAAAAAGCACGTCAATAAATAATATCTT